AAAAAAATTAAATAAATTCCATCTGTATTCGTTAAAGCAGTATCCATAGGACACAGTATAATATATATAGGTTATACATCTAAGAGTAGAAACTATATGATCATAGAAAAGAATAGATTAGATATACCTCTATCTATCCATCTGTCTATCTCTTTCTTTCCTTCTCTCATTCTCCCTCTGAATACATGTAGACCCCAAACACATATTGTTTAATAACATAATAAATTGAAGAATGATATACTCTGATAACATTTACACAAATGTAACATGCAAACCTAATCTATCATATTAAAAAGTAACAAAATTAGATTGAAAACATATATGCTAAATTCATAATATCTATTGCCTGTAAGGAGTCATAATAGTACCTAAGATTATATTCAATGGAAATATTATTAAATAGAGTTAACCATATAGAACATTTTATATTTTTAAACAAAACAAGGCAAAAATCACAAAAAACAAATATGATAATTATAATATGATTGATTCTGGTCAGTGACTAAAAATGGGTTTTTTTGTGTGTATGTGTGTGTGAGTTTAGGTCTATGTGAAAATCCCTCATCCTCAGGTCAGTTTTCTATTCCTAAATTTTATTGTTTGAAATCTAGTAATTAAAATAGACTTGGAAAATAATAATTATATGAAAAAAGAGAGGTAATACCTCTGATAAGCCCTTATTTAAGCTTCTTTTTAAGTTTGTTATTGTCAAAGTGAATAAGGAATATTTTCTGACAACACAGCGGAGAATGTTAATATCTAGCCATTTTAGTCTACACTTTGAACTCCTAAAGAATGTTCTTTAGTTTTTTTACCATTGTTCTTTTGCAGGTTTCATGTTGCCCTAATTATAGCTTCATTCCCATAAAGTAGTAATCCACCTAACACTGACAAAGGACACTTCTTTTTTTCTTCAGTTACCTCCAGTTAACCATTTGGGAAGAAAAAAAAATGCCTGAAAAATTGCAAAAAAAAAAAAAAAAATCTAATACTTCTGTGCACAAAGTCTAATTATGGCAAAATACTAGTCTTTGTTTCAGAAAATGTCCCAGTTACCCCAAAAAAAAGCAATAATTCAAGTCTGTGCATGTGTGTTTACGTGTGTGTGTGCGTGTGTGTGTGAAAATATGCAATAATAAATTATAGCAGTTTTTGGAATAGCTAATCATTTTAGAACTGTAAAATGAGAAATTGAGACTGACATTTATTTAAAGTATCTGGGGGCGCCTGGGTGGCTCAGTCATTTAAGCATCCAACTCTTAATCTCAGCTCAGGTCTTGATCTCAGGATTGTAAGGTAAGATAAGATAATAAGATAAGACCATTTTTCTGTGTGATTACTAGACTCCTTTGCTTTAAATGAGTCATTTGGTTAAACTTTCATGCTGACATAAGGTATATAAACAATATTACACCCTTTGCAGATAAAATCTTGAAATTAAGGAAAAGGTTAAATAAGGGCCAAGCACTGAATTCTAAGAGATTTAATTTACTTTTTCCATGAGAAAATATAATCTAAGAATTTATTTTAAGGAAAACAGAATTTTTTTAACCATGTCATTGTGGCTAAGTCACGTTTTCTCAATTCATTCTTTCTCCTTCCCTCTCTCTCTCTCCTTCTCTCTGTCCCTCTCTACACATATCTTTACAATAAATTACATAACCCTTATAATAAGTGTATTCATTTTAAAATAAATCTGTCTTACTACTATAACAATCTAATTTGGGTTCTAAATAAAGCTTAATATGTAATATTAACCAAATATAAAACAGATAGATTCATGTGATCTGCTTTTTTTTCCTTGAGGGAATTAAATGGAAGAAAATGCATTTAATATGTAACTACACAATTATCAGTAATGTTGCACTATAAGTATTCCTTCATAAAGTGTGCCATTTCACTACACTTAATGATATAATCTCCATGAAAAATGGTAAAGCAAAAATAGCTTTTAAAATTTTTCTATTTATAATCTGTATTTCATAGCTACTATGTAACATTTTTATAATAACTTTCTCAGTTTACAAGCCGAATTCCTAAAATAACAAGGGATGTAAGTATGTCATAATTAATATAATTATATATTAATTAGATTAATATATAATATTAGTATACAAGATAATTGGATTTATTTTTATTAGATTTATTTTTAAGTGATAACATACCCATTATTTCATTTTTAAATGTTTTAAAAATGTTAAAAACTAAAATTAGCAAGCATTTCTCTTGATTACTATTGTGTAGACTGATTTATACTTTCAGTATCTTGCATGTGAGGCTTTTTTAAGACCCCCAAATATTATTCAGTTTGATTGAATATATTTTCAAATAGAAATGTATACTGATATATATAGTTTAGGATAATGAAAACTAATGGGAGTATTTAAGACTCCAGTTAATATACTTGACATTTATGATAACTCAGAGATAAGATTCTGTAAATTTCAGTATTTGGGCTTGTAGGACAAAATCTCAGAGAAGGGAGAACCACAAAAAGTGAACCCAAGTATCTGTGTGCAGATTCCCTTCAGATATTTGTAAGCCTCTGAGATGGACATGCTCAGAGAAATACCGCAACAATTTGTACAGAAATTAACAGCTGAGAAGGTAAAGAACTGCTCAGAGATTTCATCAGCAGTGCAATACTGGAAACAGAGGTGGGAGTTCAAGACCTGCCAAGATGAAGGATACTGGCAAACATTGCTACGTTATAGTTAAGACCTCACAGGAGCACAGCCTAGGGGTAAGGGCTATGATCTAGAAGTAAAGCCAAAGTTGAACATGTTCTGCCTGAAAGAAAAAAAGAAAAAAGAAAAAGAAAGAAAACAACAGCCTAAAATGAATTTGCCAGGGGAGCAAGCAAATCACCTTATCTTCTATTTGCCCTCCAGAAAAATGTTTAACCCCCTTCGAGGAAGAAAACATCATTCAGAGCTTCTCTGATTTTTCATATACAGTATCTAGCATAGAATTAAAAATTAAGTGGTATGCTTTCACAAAAACAATGACCAAAAACCAAGACAAAAATAAATTATTTAGATACCACAATTATCAGATAGTAACTTTACACTGAATATGATTAATGTGTTGTTAAGAATAGAAAAAAAATGAGGGTGCCTGGGTGGCTCAGTCAGTTAAGTGTCCGACTTCAGCTCAGGTCATGATTTTGTGGTTTGTGCGTTCAAGCCCAGTGATGAGCTGTGTGCTGACAGCTCGGAGACTGGACCCTGTTTCAGATTCTGTGTCTCCCTCTTTCTCTGCCCTTTCCCTGCTCTCACTCTCTCTTTCTCTCTCTCTCAAAAATAAACATTACAAAAATTAAAAATAAAGAATAGAAAAAAATGGAGAATATTAGTATAAACCTCAAATTCTTAAAAGAAGTCAACTTAACATTCTTGATGTTAAAAACGTAATGGCTCAACCCTCTGGTTTCAACTGTCACATGTATAGAAGAGCTTTAAAGTTGCCATTCTCATCCTTAAAACGAGAAAAAGCAGAACAAAAAGAAAATCAATGGCTTTTATTGAATCCATCAGATAACTGAGATTACAGGGCAAATTGCTACCCTGAAATTCAGAGAGACAGGCAAATCAAGAAAGTCACAGTCAAGAGCTGCTTGCTTACAGCAGGAGCCACAGGAACCATAAATGTGTAGGAATACTTATGTGGTGGTTTGGATGAATCCCTGGAAGCTCAGTGTAGACTAGCATGACAAAAAGAAAGCCCTGGTGACTGTAGTCTTAGAAAGAGTCCCATGTTTTTCAAGTCCACTATGTTTTCAAGGTGAATATTTTTGAAAGATCCTGTTGTGCCTCTTAAGGGGAAGGGTAATTATTGTCAAACACACCAAGAATTTTCTTTATAAGTACTGCGTATTCTCCAAAGGAAAAAAAAATTTTTTTACCAGACTCTTGTTCTAGCCAGGGGAAGTGATTTACTCGGGCTCCAGTCTCCTCTAACTTTCCTATCTCATCTAAGGGAGATTAAAAAGCTATACCACTAGAGAAACACTTATTAAGGTCACAACCCAGAGTCACAAGCTCAGGAAAATACAGAGATTTAATCAAAAGATTATAGAATACTTCCCCCTTTCCACAACTTTCTACCACACCAGTAGGGCTTCATTATAGTAACTGCAGATTAGCAGATTACTGCTGAAAGACTCACAAAATTTAGACTTTCTCCTAGGGGGAGTACTTAAAGAAACCAAAAGTCAAAGGGGATACAGAAACAAAGACACAAAAGTAATCTGAAGCCGCTGATTAATAACAGCTATGAAAATATTAAACACAGACCAACTCCTAGCCACATTAGCAAAATCTCACAACAAGGCCTATTTACTTCAATTTTATCACCTGAAAAACATGTCCAGCTTTCAACAAAAAAATGACAAGACTTAAAAAATGAAAAAAAAAAAAAAAAGATTGAAGACACAAAGCAAACCTCAGAACCAGACTGAGATGATGCCACAGATTTGGGAATTTAGGCAGGGAATTGTGATTAAGATGTTAAGGGCTCTAGTGGGAAAGTAGGCAACAGGAAAAAAAGAGATAGGTGATGTAAGTGGAACTATGGAAATGCTAGAAATCAAAAACATTTTAATTAAAGAATGCAGTAAATGGACCCATTAATGGACTGGACATGATGGGGGGAAGAAATGATTGAGCTTGAATATTGATCAGTAGAAACTTCCCAAATGAAATACAATGACAAAGAAGAAACAGCAACAAACAACAGCTACAGGGCCTTCAAGAACTGTGGAATAATTACAAAAGATACAATTCAATGTAACTGGAATACCTGAAGAAGAACAATGAGAAAATAGAGCAGAAGAAATATTTGAAACAATAATGACTGAAAGCTTTCCAAGTTAATAGCAAATGTTAAGAAAATATTCAAACAACATAAAACAAAAAAATATATATATATCTAGTCATGTCATGTACAAACACAGATTAAGACAAAATCTTGAAAGAAGTCAAAGGAAGTAATCATCTTACCTATAGGGGAAGTAGAATAAGAATTACAGTAGACTTCTTGTGAGAAATCATTCATGTAAGAAGATAGTGGATACCTAAAATGTTGAAAGGAAAAAATAAACATCAAACTAGAATTAAATACCCACCAAACTTTACTTCCAAAGTGAACAAAGACCTTTTCAGATGAGCAATAACTGATGAATTCATTGTCATCAACACCTGCCATGCAAGAAATCTTAAACATTTTAAAGGAAGAAGAAAAATGATATAGGCCAGAATGTGGATCCACTTAAGGAAAGAAGGAGCCCCTTTAGGAATAAATGAAGGTTAAATAAAATATTTTATTGCTATTACTCTTATTTAATATAAAAGATAACTGTTCAAAGTAATAGTAGAAAGGATGTGTTGAGTTGTTACAGCACAGAGGTAAGTAAAAAGAAAGACATTTTATAAGATTGGGAATACTCTGCTATAAAGGTAACTATACTATGCATGAAGCAGTGCAGTGTTATTTGAAGGTGTATTTGGACTAGTTGTAAATGTATATTGAAAACTCTAGGGCAACCATTATAAATTTTAAGAGAGGGGTGCCTGGGTTGCTCAGTTGGATAAGCATCAGACTATGGCTCTGATTATGATCTCGCAGTTCACAAGTTCGAGCCCCATGTCTGCTCTGTGCTGATAGCTCAGAGCCTGGAGCCTGCTTCAGATTCTGTGTCTCCCTCTCTCTCGGTCCCTCCCTCACTCGCACTCTGTCTCTCTCTTTCTCAAAAATAAATAAACATAAAAATGTTTTTAAATGTTTAAAACAGAAGTACAATTGTGATACTAAGAGAGGAAAGGAAATAGAATCATAAAATTCTCAGTTAAAACTATAGACTGCAGAAAAAGAGAGACGAAAATATTCAAAGAATGAATGCAAAGAATTGACAATTACAAACATTGTAGATCTCAATCCAGCTGTATCAATAATGATTAAATATGAATGGTCTAAATGCACCAAATCAAAGTGAGACTGTCAGAGTTGATTAAAAAAAAGACCCCAACATATGTTGTCTTTAAGAAGCTTATTTTATGTATAAAGACAAATAGATTAAAAGTAAAAGGGTGTAGAAAGTCACCCATTCTAACATTAGTCACAAGAAAGGTGAGTAGTTATAATAATTTCAAACAAAACAGACTTCTAAGCCAGGAAAATTATCAGGGATATAGAAGGGCATTACATACTAGTAAAATGAAAATTCTCCAGTAAGACATAATAATACTAAACATGTATGTACTTCACAATTGAGCATCAAAATATATGAGGTAAAAACTGATATAACTGAGAAGTAAGCAAGTCTATAATACAGTTGAACATTTAACTCCCTTCTTTAGTAATTGATTGATCAAGCAAGAATAAAACTCAGTAAGAATATGCATGACCTTAACAGCACTATCCATCAACTGAGTTATTGACATTTTTAGAATACTCTATCGCACAACAGCAGAATTAACATTCTTCTCAAGTTCACATGGAATATTCTCCCAGACAAACTGCATTATAACCAGGAAACATATCTCACTAAATTTAGAATAGAAATCATACAAAATATGTTCTTAGATCAGTATGCAATTAAACCAGACAACAAAAGATAGCTGGAAAGTCATAAATTGTGGAAATAAAATAACAAACATTAAATAACATTAGAATCAAAGAAATCCCATGGTAAAGTGTGTGTGTGTGTCTGTGTGTGTGTGTGTGTGTGTGTGTGTGTGTGTAGTGAATTCGATGGAAGAAAATACAAATTATCAAAAATTTGGGGATGCAGCAAAAACAGTACTTGAGGGAAATGTAAACTTGAAATGCATCTATTAGAGGAAAAAAAATCCTGAAATCAATATCTTAAGGAAACTATATAAAGAGGAACAATTTTAGCCTAAAAGAAACAAAAGAAAAGAAATAAAACTACAGTACGAGAGCTGCCTGGTTGGCTCAGTCAGAAAAGCATGTGACTGTTGATCTCAAGGTTATGAGTTTCAGCTCCACATTAAGTGTAGAGATTACTTAAATAAATAAAACTTCAAAAATATATATAGCACAAGTTAATCAGTTGAAGAAAAACAATAGAGAAAAATCAATGAAACAAATCCTGGTTCTTTGAAAAGATCAACAAATTAATAAAACTCTACCAGTCTAACTTTCTAACAGGAAAGAAAATACAAATTGCAAATGTCAGAATTGAAGAAGGGTTCATTACTTACGAAACCATGGGTATTAAATAATAATAAGAGAGCATTATCACTAGCCACATGTCCACCATATGCCCACCATATGATAATTTAGATGAAATTGATTCCTTAAAAGAAACAAACTGTCAAATCTCATATAAGGAGAATGAGATCATAGGAAAGAATGTTCATATATTTAAGAATTTGAGTAATAAACTTCAAGTAAAACTTACTAGGCCCAGATGAGTTAACTAGTAAATTGTGACAGACATGTAAGAAAGAAATGGCCACAGTGCTCCACAATTTCATCCAAAAAATAGAAGCAGACAGAGCACTTCCTAAATTATTATGAGTCCAGAATTACCTTAACATCAAAACCACATAAAGATCTTATAGGAAAATAAAATTACAGACCAATATCTTTCATAAAGATGTAGCAACAATCTTAAAACAAAAATATTAACAAATTGAATTCAACAATGTAGAAAAAGAATTATATTCCCTGATTCCATGTTCAAGTGGGTTTATTCCAGTTATTCAAATCTGGTTCAACATTTGAAAACCAATAAATGCCATCAACTATATCAAAAGTCTAAGGAAAAATTATGTGATGATATCAACGGATGGGGAAAAAGTATTTGACAAAATCAAACCTTCATTGATGATTAAAACTTTCAGAAAACTAAGCACAGAGAGAAACTTTGTCAACTTGAATGAAAACATCTATGAAAAAACTTTAGTAAACATCATACTTAATAGTGAGAAAGTAGATGTCTTCCCCCTTAAGTCAGGAACAAGGCAAGGATGCTCTCTCTCACCAATCTTATTCATCATTATACTGAAAGTCACAACAATGCAAGAACAGTAGGTACAGATATATAAGTTGAAAGAGAAGGAATAAAACTGTCCCTATTCATAGATAACATGATTGTATATGTAGAGAATCCTAATAACAATGACAAAGTCCTATAACTAATGAGCAATTATAGCAAGGTTGTAGAACACAAAGTTAACATATAAAAGTCAATCATTTCCTTATATACCAACAATTAACAATTGGAATTTGAAATGTAAAAAAGGATACCATGTACAACAGAAACAGAAAGAAGGAAGGGAAGGAAGAATAGAAGGAAGGGAGGAAGGGAGGAAGAAAGACTAAGGTATATAATCTGACAAAATGTGAAGGATTAGGTGTGCAAAACTGTATTACATTGATGAAAGAAATCAAAGATCCAAATAAATAGAAACTCTGTGTTTACAGATTAGAAAACTCAATATTGTTCATGTATGAATTCTTCCCACCTTGATCTATAGATTCAGTGCAAATCCCAATCAAAATTCCAACAGGTTATTTTGTGAACATTAACAAACTGACTTTAAAACTCATATAAAAAGACAAAAAACCTAGAATATACAATGCAACAGTAAAGAAGAGGAAAGTTAGAACACTGATACTACCTAACATCGAGACTTACTGTTAGATTACAATAATGAAAAGAGTGTGTTATTGGGGTGAGAATGCATACCTAGATCAAAAGAACAGAAAGAGTCCAGAAATACATATAAACAAGTATAGTCAACTTATCTTTGAAAAAGGAGCAAAGACAACTCAATGGAGAAATTGCAATGTTTACAACAAATGGTGCCAGAGCAATTAGATGCCCCTATACAAAAAATGAACTTAAACATCACCTTTATACCTTTCACAGAATTAACTCAAAATTGATAATAGGACTAAATGGGAAATAGAAACCATAAAACTTTTGTAGAAAACAGAAAATGTGCATGATGTGGGTTTATGATGAGGTTTTGAATACAACACTGATAGCACAGTTCATGAAAGAAAAAACAGGTAAATTGAACTTTACTGAGATTCAAAACATCTGCTCTGCAGAAAAGACTGTTAAGAGAATGAAAAGATAAGCCACAGACTTGGGAAAAAATCTTTGCAGAACACATATCTAATGAAGACATTCTTGTGTTTGAAATATACAAACAACTTTTTAAACAACAATAAGAAAACAAAGTGCTCAATTAAGGAAAGGCACAATATCTGAACAGATATTTCACCAGAGAAGATATACAGGTGGCTTAAGCAGGTGAAAAGATGCTCAGCATCATTTATTATTAAAATATTTTAAGTTCACACAAGACAGCACTACATACCTATTAGAATGCAAAGCAAAAACAAAAAAAAAACAAAAACAAAACAATCAGAATTCCCTGACAGTACCAACGTGCTGGCAAGGGTACAGACAAACAGAAGCTTTCATTCATTGCTGGTGGTAATTCAAAATGGTAAAGCCACTTTGTAAGACGCTTTGTCAGCTTATTACAAAACTAAACATGATTTTACCATAAGATCCTGCAATCATGTACTAATGAAATGGATTTGAGAATAAATGTCCACATAAATTATCCTTATGTGAATGTTTATAGTAGCTTCATTCATAGTTGCCCAAAACTAGAAGCAACCAAAATATTCCAATAGGTGAGTGGATAAATAAGCTGCGATATATCCATATGATGGAGAGTACTTGGGGACAAAAAAAGATGAGCTATGTCAAACCACAAAAAAAACACAGATGAATCTTAAATGCCTATTGCTAATTGAAATAAGCCAGTCAGAAATAACTGCATACTATATGATTGCAATTATATGACATTCTGGAAAAGACAAAGTTATATAAAGACAGAAAACAAAGCAAGGGTTCAGGGAGGGTGATGTTGAGTAGCTGAAACACAGGAGACGTTTTTAGGAAGGTCAAACTATTGTATATGATAATGTAATGTTAATTACAAATTAAGCATTTGTCAAAACTCATAGAAGCTTACAACAAAAACAGTTAACTTAAGGTATGAAAATTTATCCAACAATGTTTAA